GGTAATTAAATATTTAATTTGTTTTCCCTAAACAGTGTAAAATTTTGGAAAAAAATGTTCACGAACATTAATTGTCTCGCACAACGAGTCTGTGTGCAAAATGTCAGCTCGATTGGATCACGGGAAATGGGTTAAAAAACGACCGAAAGATTTGCACGGTCGTAAGCACGCAAGCAAGCGAACTTAATATAAAGGATTTAAAAAGGAGCGGGGAAGTTGCCGAGGCACTTCTGAATCGGTCCTGGTTGTCCTCTTGCATCAACCCACACTGACCAGTCTGGTGAAGTATGGTGAAACAACCCCTATGATGACCAACGCAGTATGGGAATGTCTTCACCCAATGGTGGTTTGGCAAAGAGATATATCGTCATTATTATTGAGACATCTTAGTGTGGGTTCGATAACAAAAAATGTCATTATTTATCCGTAGAAGTCATTCTCAGTCCCAAGGACCTTTTTAAGACGACAGGTTTCATATTGGCTCACAGGGGGATGCCGTGCTCACCATCTAAGATTCTTCAAGTTCCACCCTGCCATCCTCCGTCCCTCACAGTCTCTCAGGCGAGTCGTGACACAATGCACCCGGCCCTAACAACACACCTCGCCCATCTTACGCACGCCGGGTTACTTTTGGCGGTTTTTGTTGCTCGCAGAGCTGGACTACTGGTTTTTCTGCCTGTGCGAGTGTAGAATGAACGCGGCGTCCGTGCTCACGGGGTGCTGTGCCATTTTTAAATCCTTTATATTAAGTTCGCTTGCTTGCTTGCGTGCTTGCTTACGACCGTGCAAATCTTTCGGTCGTTTTTTAACCCACTTTCCGTGATCCAATCGAGCTGACATTTTCCACACAGACTCGTTGAAAAAAAAATTCCAAAAATTTTACACTTTTTAGGCAAAAAAAATTATTTTACATATATTCAAATAGAACTCATTCTTGGCTTTGGTTGAACGTCACAGTATAAGAGCCCAGAGCGTAACCCCTCCACAGGCCGTGGCGGAGTAGCGCAGTTGGTAGCGCCCTCGCTTCCCATGCCAAAGGTCGCGGGATCGATCCCCGCGTCCTCCACAGGCGAATGTTTTTAAATCCTTTATATTAAGTTCACTGCCACGCATATAAAGGATTTATAGTGAAAAACTTTGTTTTTACGGGTTATACTTATTGTGTGTGTGTGTAATAAACCTTCTCGAGACGACTTCTGGAATCAGTCCTTTATTTTCCACTTCCACAGTTTACACACACTCCCCGTTGCTGGCAGGCAACGGGAAGCGGGCAGACAGCCAGCAAAGTCGCACCGCTCACGTGGCACCCAGAGCCCCGTACGCGCGTGGCTCCTGCTCCCTTCGTTCCCAGGTCTGCTCCCGACTCCTCCGTCTCTCCCCCTCTTAACCCCTCGGTCACGTGGTACCCCTAAGCCAATCTCCAGTAGTCAGCGTCGAACACTCCAGATCACTCCCCGTCAACTCCCGGGACCACGCCTCTGATCCGGCTTCCCATTAGCTGAGGCCAAGATCGGCCAAGCCAATCACCTTAGCTAACATGCCGTGATCACGCCGAGATCATGCTCCCGGGCTCTCCCCTCATTGGCTACAAAGCGGGACCGGCAAGCCGATCGCCACGTGAGTCATACATGGCTCTCATTACGTGTACGGTTATGGCATCGGGATCGTTATCTTGAGGGGGCAGTTAATGATTAATTCGGTTGTGTCGAGTGTCCCGAGGCCCTTTAATGTCCCGTGGGTTGCCGTGTTATTAGCTCGCAGTGTGACGTCGGTTTATTTTGTTGATCAGATCTAGTTTTGTTTTTGTTGTTGTTGTGATTGCGATGTGCCACATTTCGTAACGATGTGTTTATTGTATGGGGCTTTTCTCGCGATCGCGATGTGTGGACTGTACGTACTGCATAGACTGTCTCTCTGCACGGATACGGGTTGTGAGGTGCATTGTTGTCTTCCTTGGTACGGATCGTTAATATGTGAGCCACGAACCAGGGCAGGCACTCTGATTGGTCGGGAGCTTAGCGGCAGTCCCTTTGATGTGGAAGCCTGGGTGCGGACGTCGCTGAAAGCACCGATACGGCCCACCAATGGCCGTGAAGGATCGCGGGTTAACCAAGGGATTCTTTGATGTAGAGGGGGATAAAAGGGAGGGCACTCTTATCAGTTCGCGTTCTCAAGTCAGCGATCGGAGCAGTCAGCTTGCCAGGCACTGGATCGTACGTGTGACGAGTATCAGCGCAGCCAGGCCCCGCTCCCAGTGAGAGCTTCGTGCACATCCGAGCCGAACAACGAGTACGCGAGAGAGAGAGAGCTGCGAGTTAGCATAAAAGCCTAGGGAGATTAATTCGAAATAGACGCGGTAGGTCGGGTTTAGACCGTCGGGAGATAGGCTAGCCTTACCCTGCTGATTCAGACTCTGATTCAGGTAATAGTGACTCGCAGATGCGCCGGAAATAAACCCTAAAGCATAGGATGCCGACGCTGTGTGGTCTCTGTGGTATTGAGGAGCAGAACCGGCCCTAGACCTTAGGGGGCCCTAAGCAAAATTTGGTTGGAGGCTCCTTTGATGTATGATTTTTTTGACCCACTAGCTAGCAGTGACTCTAGGGGGCCCTCTGCTGGCCACGGGGCCCTTTGCAATTGCAAGGGTCGCTTAGTGGCTGGGCCGGCTCTGTTGAGGAGTGCTGGGAGTGGTGTGGGCATAGGTGTGAACGACGGGTTAACGCATGAATCTTACCCTCGATTCGGTTATCGTTACGCTTGCGCTGTGCTGTTAGTGGGTGCACGTGGTGAGCGACGGTAGGATTGCACGAGTACACGTGGGATTCTAGATTTGAAGCTTTCGTGACTGCAATGATTCATATTCTTAGGTTTTTTCGGTAAAGTCACGTAGGTAAAAACATTAAAAAGTAAAATAAATAAAAATCACGTTTCAGAGGAAGACGGAAGCTTGTGTTGCCTCCGAAACGTCGTGATTTTTTATTTTATTTTACTTTTTAATGTTTTTACCTACGTGACTTTACCGAAAAAACCTAAGAATACACGTGGGATTATTCATACGACCATTGTTTAGATTGTGCCCGAGCGTGATGCGTGAATCCTGTCGCCAGTTACTCATCACTGCGCAGAGGGGCCGGAGGACGATTAAAGCATTTCTTTAATTCCCCAGTACACAGCAACACTTGTTCTAAAACCAATCCCGAACACCCGCCCCACAGCCCTTTAAATCATCTCAAATACAACCCCCCAATCGGCAACACGTGTGTGCGAGTGACGTCATTGCCCCTTTGACCCCTGACCCCCATTCCGCACGTGATTGGTGCGTGTGGTTGTGAGTTTGAGTGCCTGCGCGTATACGAGTGTGGGCCGTGGCGTGCAGAGAGTCTTCTACCAACGTTGGGAGGAGTGCGAGTGAGGAGCAAAGAATTAATTGCAGGCAGCCGAGCGCCAGCCCCGAATCGTGCCCCACAGACAGGACTCGCGGACTCGAGGAGCCGGAGAGTGGCAGCAGCGGCTCTCACACGAGTGAGCGAGGAGTCAGGAGGCAGCAGCCCCCCCCCCCTTCCCCCGAGATCAACCCTCCGCCGGGGGAGGACCCGGGGGCCAGCAGCCTCAACAAGACGCATATATTAAACACAAACTCCACTTTATTTATTGTACCAGGTAAAGCGTAATAAGCTATTAGCTTCTTTTTCGATTTAAAGCTTTCGTGACTGCAGGGATTCATCTTCTTGGTTCTTTCGGTAAAGTCACGTAGAATTGAAATAATAAAATTATATAAATAAAACATAATAACCTTCTTGGTTCTTTCAGTAAAGTCACGTAGAAGGGAAATAATAAAATAATAAAAATAAAACAATAAAATACGACGTTTCGGCCACAACGCAAGCAGCCGTCCTCAGGTGAAGAATGAAACACCACCAAGCTTGGAGCGTCGTGATAATTATTTTATTATGTTTTATTTTTATTATTTTATTACTTCCCTTCTACGTGACTTTACCGAAAGAACCAAGAAGATGAATCCCTGCAGTCACGAAAGCTTTAAATCGAAAAATAAAACACGATAAAACGACGTTTCGGCCACAACGCAAGTAGCCGTCCTCAGGCGGACAACAGGTCTGTCGAGGAGAAAATTCTACGTGACTTTACAGAAAGAACCAAGAAGACTATTAGCTTCTTTTTCATAAGCAACCTGGCTATCTCAAATGACACCAGCTTAACAAAGTGGCTGATATCATCATCATCATCGCTGATTCACGTGGAAATTTCTAGCGGCAAAATAACGTAAACAAACTAAAACACACGATCGGTGAGGTTTGCACTCACTTTGTGAGGCAAAAGGGGGGCTAATTTCCCTCAAGAAATGCAATAAAATGTACTTTAAACCTTTTTCTTAATATCTAAAAATTATCGTGCTGTACAAACCGCCGGCGGGAAAAGGCCGGCGTTGGCGAAATCAAGCGGGCTTTGGTCGCCAAGGGCATCCTGTGCGTAGTGTGGTTGAGTGGTCTAAGTTGTTAGATTCAGCCTCCAGTCTCTTTGCAGGCGTATATATTTTATTTTAAATTATTTTACATTTTATTCCTAAATCACATACTCTTTGGTTCTTTCGGTAATGTCACGTAGGTAGAAAAAAAAATAATAGATCACAAAGTTTCGATCGTAAGACAAGCGGTCGTTCTCGCTTCTGATCAGGGATCTACCCAGCCAACAGGTCCACAAAGACTGGCCCGTCGCTCTTACTCTGCAGGTTGAACCTAGGAACTGAGTTTTCAACTCTTCACTTCTTCGCTCTTCACCATCACCTCTTCACATTTCACCTCGATTCCTTTAAGTGTCAAATCTGGGATTTTCCTTCAGTTCTTGTTTCACGAGGGATGGGCTCACAAGCCAATTTCAGACTCCACTCCTTGCAGATCTTCTGATGCTTATGCGTTTTCTGGTGTAGATGAAGATTTTATGAATGTGCAAACGCCTTCCCGCAAAGTGCACCTGAAGGGTTTCTCTCCCGTGTGTGTTCTCTGGTGTCTTTCAAGAGCAGATGAATGTAAAAATGCCTTCCCACACCCACTGCACTTGAAGGGTTTCTCTCCCGTGTGTGTTCTCTGGTGTCTTTCAAGAGCAGATGAATGTAAAAATGCCTTCCCACACCCACTGCACTTGAAGGGTTTCTCTCCCGTGTGTGTTCTCTGGTGTCTTTCAAGAGCAGATGAATGTGAAAATGCCTTCCCACACCCACTGCACTTGAAGGGTTTCTCTCCCGTGTGTGTTCTCTGGTGTCTTTCAAGAGCAGATGAATGTAAAATGCCTTCCCACACCCACTGCACTTGAAGGATTTCTCTCCCGTGTGTGTTCTCTGGTGTCTTACAAGAGAAGATGAATGTGCAAACGCTTTCCCACACACACTGCACTTGAAGGGTTTCTCTCCTGTGTGTGCTCTCTGGTGGGTCTGAAAAACTGATTGCCATGCAAAGGCCTTCCCACACACAGTGCACTTGAAGGGTTTCTCTCCTGTGCGAGTTCTCTGGTGCTGTGTCAAATTTCCAGTGCAATCCGTGCTGTATGCACTCTGGTCGCATTGTTGTCTTGCCGTACCGAGCTGTGCTGACTGCCTTTGCTCCATTAGACCAATTCTGCAGAGGAAGCGTCAGAGGAAGCGGCAGCTGCAGACAGATAATAGGAACATCCACACCATCATCAAGTCAGTATCGTGGCACGGAGGAATGCATATATACAGTCACATGTGACTTACACGTCTATACTTATTCATATATTCATTATGTAGTGAAACAGTTTCCCAATATTCATCACACGGGCTGTTATTGCACACAAAGAGAGATCAAATGGTCATACATATGCCTAGAAGCCTTCGTATCTTAAAAATGAATGTGAACCCAAAACTCCGAGCACACAATTTCGGCTGTCTGGCTACAAAAGGAATATTTATAAAGCTAAATTCAGCTGACATAGCAAAAGGTGTTAAAACAATTCTATTTGTGTTATGCAGAAATGCATAAATTCATGTTCAATCGCAACTCAGGTGTGAATCCAGGCTCAGATGTCCTTGAAGGCTGGGATGAACAGATCCGACTTTCAGCTGTACGTGTGTGCTGTGGTAACTTCCTGTTTCCATTCTTACAAAGAGTTCCAGAGGAAAACAAAAATAAACTATTGTTTTGATATAACCTCCGTGTTCAACAGAGTTAATAGACTTTACTGCAAACACAAACTTTACACTGTCACACACTGCCATGGTAAACAGGTGGTGTTTTGACCAGAACCATGCCTGGCCACCTTTATCTGCTCAGCATTAATGATTCCTCACTCCACCAAGTAATTAATTGAGGATCAATCAACATAGCCGAGGCTAACTGGAGTTTGTGTGTCTCTCTCTCTCCGTGGTGAGATGTTAACTACCTCACCTGGTATGCAGGAAGTCGTGGGTTCAAACCCGGCCCTGACGCCAGCTGCTGTATATTTGGAGTTTGCGTGTCTCTCTCTCCGTGGTCGCGTGGATTTTCCTCCGGATTCCCCGGGTTTGCCCTCCACATTTAGAGTGAACATCAGCACGAGTTTAGCGTCTTTGACCGATACACATTTCCACACGTATTCTTGGTTCTTTCGGTAAAGTTACGTAGATAGAAAATATCAATAGATAATATAATAAAATAAAGACCACTTGTGTTGCGATCGAAACGTCGTGGGTTTTTTTTCTTTATTTACAATTTTCTAATTTTTATTTTATTATCTGTTATTTTTATTTAATTTTCTATCTAAGTGACTTCACTGAAAGAACCAAGAATATGAATTCCTGCAGTCACGAAAGTTTTAAGTCAAAACATTCACACACAAGTTCACAAAGCCTCACCTTGCGTTGTGGGCAGGTTGCTTCTGAAAACAAGAGCGGTATAGCAGCTCAAGCGGGCTTGGCCTGGTAAAAAAAATGAAAAACTGCATAAATATTTACAGTGAGGGAAAGAAAGAAAGACAAAGAAATGATCAGTCTATAATTTTAATGGTAAGTTTATTTGAACAGTGACAGACAGAATAACAACAAAAAATCCAGAAAAACGCGTCAAAAATGTTATAAATTGATTTGCATTTTAATGACGGAAATAAGTATTTGACCCCCTCTCAATCAGAAAGATTTCTGGCTCCCAGGTGTCTTTTATACAGGTAACGAGTTAAGATTAGGAGCACACTCTTAAAGGGAGTGCTCCTAATCTTAGCTTGTTACCTGTATAAAAGACACCTGTTCACAGAAGCAATCAATCAGATTCCAAACTCTCCACCATGGCCAAGACCAAAGAGCTCTCCAAGGATGTCAGGAACAAGATTGTAGACCCACACAAGGCTGGAATGGGCTACAAGACCATCGCCAAGCAGCTCGGTGAGAAGGTGACAACAGTTGGTGAGATTATTCGTAAATGGAAGAAACACACAAGAACTGCCAATGTCCCTCGGCCTAGGGCTCCATGCAAGATCTCACCTCGTGGAGTTGCAATGATCATGAGAACGGTGAGGAATCAGCCCAGAACTACACAAGGTAGCAGGGACCATAGTCACCAAGAAAACAGTTGGTAACACACTACGCCGTGAAGGACTGAAATCCTGTAGCGCCCGCAAGGGGCCCCTGCTCAAGAAAGCACATATACATGCCCGTCTGAAGTTTGCCAATGAACATCTGAATGATTCAAAGGACAACTGGGTGAAAGTGTTGTGGTCAGATGAGACCAAAATGGAGCTCTTTGGCATCAACTCAACTCGCCGTGTTTGGAGGAGGAATGCTGCCTATGACCCCTAGAACACCATCCCCACCATCAAATATGGAGGTGGAAACATTATATTTTTGGGGTGTTTTTCTGCTAAGGGGACAGGACAACTTCACCGCATCAAAGGGACGATGGACGGGGCCATGTACCGTCAAATCTTGGGTGAGAACCTCCTTCCCTTAGCCAGGGCATTGAAAATGGGTCGTGGATGGGTATTCCAGCATGACAATGACCCAAAACACACGGCCAAGGCAACAAAGGAGTGGCTCAAGAAGAAGCACATTAAGGTCCTGGAGTGGCCTAGCCAGTCTCCAGACCTTAATCCCATAGAAAATCTGTGGAGGGAGCTGAAGGTTCGAGTTGCCAAACGTCAGCCTCGAAACCTTAATGACTTGGAGAAGATCTGCAAAGAGGAGTGGGACAAAATCCCTCCTGAGATGTGTGCAAACCTGGTGGCCAACTACAAGAAACGTCTGACCTCTGTGATTGCCAACAAGGGTTTTGCCACCAAGTACTAAGTCATGTTTTGCTGAGGGGGTCAAATACTTATTTCCCTCATTAAAATGCAAATCAATTTATAACATTTTGACGCGTTTTTCTGGATTTTGTTGTTGTTATTCTGTCTCTCACTTCAAATAAACCTACCATTAAAATTATAGACTCATCATTTCATTGTCAGTGGGCAAACGTACACAATCAGCAGGGGATCAAATACTTTTTCTTGGTTCTTTCGGTAAAGTCACGTAGAAGGTAAGTAATAAAACAACAAAAATAAAACAATGAAATAATATAATAGTAATATAATTATTTTATGTTTTATTTTTTATTATATTATTACTTCCCTTCTACGTGACGACTTTACCGAAAGAACCAAGAAATTGAATCCCTGCAGTCACGAAAGAAGCTTTAAATCTAAATTTAGATCAAATACTTGTCCCCTCACTGTAACAATAAAACAGAGTTACAAAGTGGCGAGCCGCGTGAAGACACATTAATTTAAACTAACTCAGGCGAGGGCAGGAGGCAAGGCCCCGCGTCGCCAGGCCGCGCCTTGTAATGTTCCAACCTGGACATCGATTCCAATGCTGCTCAATTGACATCCCTACGAGAGGCTCTACCTTGGTAAACAACAACAACCACAAACCACCACAAGAATTTATCACCTCAGATTTCAGAAAAAGCGCGGAGCGGGCAGCTTTCTGTTACCTCGTGACGTCACGCGGCAGCAGAAAGTGACATAACGTCACTTCCGGGATACAAGACAGTCCCCTCCCACAGATTCAGCAGTGACCATCGCGGAGGTGACGTCACGCACAAGAGCGCGGTGCAGGGTGACGTCACAAAGCTGGATTGGAGTTAAAGTTTTTAGATTAAATTTCCATTGCTCCATCTCTTGAACAGAGACCCCTTGGGTGCGTGAGCTCAGAAACTACAACGTGGACATTATTGTGTGTGTACACAGTGTGTGTGTGTGTACATTGTGTGTGTATACTGTGTGTACACAGTGAGTGTGTGTGTACACTGTGTGTGTGTGTACATTGTGTGTGTACACTATGTGTGTGTACACAGTGAGTGTGTGTGTACACAGTGAGTGTGTAGACTGTGTGTGTGCACAGTGAGTGTGTAGACTGTGTGTGTACACTGTGTGTGTACACTATGTGTGTGTACACAGTGAGTGTGTGTACATTGTGTGTGTACACTGTGTGTGTGTACACAGTGTACACACACACTTGTAGAGGTAACTTCTTTATTACAACACTCCAACAGTACTCCCAACAGTCCTGATACTCTGTTAAAGCCAAGGTACACAGCCTAGCTACACAGCCTAGATACTCTACTCTGGCTACGCTCCGGAACTCGCCCTCACAAGGTCGTAGAGTCGGGAGTTCCAGAGTCCCAGCACTGGCTCTCACAGCATCCCAGGGTCTTCAGATGGCTGGTCGTGGGTCTTGGGTCTTGAGTTACAACTGGGCCCCGATCGTCCAGGGAGCTCCCCTTTTATGCCTGGTCCAACGAGGGGTGGGGCCGTGTGCGCCACCAGACATCCCACAGAGCACACACAGCCCCCCCCCCGTTGGCGGCACCCAGAGGCTTAAGCGTCTGGACCCCCTGGGAACCCAGCGCCTGGCGCCCAGAGGCTTAAGCGTCTGGACCCGCCCGGGAACCCAGAGCCCCCAGCAGCCCCTCCCTTCTTATGTCACTACAGATGTATAAGGGCACGGGGTGACCAATAAGGTCAGAATTGGTCTGTGTGCTTTAGAGAGGGAGGCGGGGTTATTTATTAATTAAATATAGCGCCGATACGTGGAACGCTACGCGTGTTGCAATCAAGACGGGCGCTTAAACGAACACAAAAATCAACGCGCTAATTAGGTAAATGTTCTCGATTTAAAGCTTTCGTGACTGCAGGGATTCATCTTCTTGGTTCTTTCGGTAAAGTCATCACGTAGAAGGGAAGTAATACCATAATAAAAATTAAACATAATTAAATAATCCGAGCGTGCTCCCTATTTCAAAGACGATGAGTTGCTCCAGAGACAAATGCTTCCGGAAACACAAAAAATTAACCCGTAAAAACAAAGTTTTTCACTATAAATCCTTTATATGCGTGGCGGCGAGAGTCCTCTCGTCCTCTGGCTTGATA